ATGCTGAAGTCCTTTCTCATTCCAGAACTCTTGTGCCTTATCCGCTTATCTCGGATTCCGATATTTTCGGAGATAATCTCGGCCTAGCCGAGATCACCTCGGCGTCATAACCTAGACACGTGGCACCTCGGCTGACACGTCGACATCACCTTGGCCACGTGTTGGGAACTCAGAAAATATATCCCCACACCAAACAACACTTTGCCACACCTTACCATGCTAGTCTTTGTTTGCCGCAACATTTTAAAATTACATCTTGAAATTGTGCAACTCAACTCACAATTTGAAAATATGATTTCAAAAAATGTTCATATTTTTTTGCATGATTTTAAAATCTTTGTTATCTATTTTTTTTTTTTTAAAAAAAATCAAAAACTACTTTGATTTGATGAATAACATAAAATAAAAAAAAAATAAAAAAAGTCATCATTTTCTTATGATTTTTTTTTGGAAAGATTATAATTTTTTAAATTTAAAAATAAACTTTTCTATTTTATTTTGCTAAATTAATTTTATTTTAAAAAATAAAAAATAGATTTTGAAAATCAAAACAAAATAGATGTACTTTGGTGAATAGTTTTGGTTACAATTCTTAAAAATTATTTTTAAATAAGTTTTCCTTGTCCTTATTGATTTATATATATATATATATATATATATTTTAGTTAGACGCATCTAAAAAGTTTAAAATATATATATATATATGAAAAAAAATTACTAAAAATATATAAAAACTCATTTAAAAATAGTTTTTGGAAAAGTAAACATTTTTCCTTCTATTTTTTTTTGCATTATTACCAAAAAGGAAAAAAAAAATCTTGATTTCAAGGTAATTAAACTCATTACAAGATTCACCCAAAAAATAAATTCATTACAAGATCTTTTTTTTTAACAAATTCTTTACAAGATTGAAATTGAAAAGATAAATACAAAAGAAAAAATCTATATAATAAAGCAAGACGGTTTTTGAATTTTTAACATATTTTTGTCATACTAGGACATCTGGATGGCTCAGATCTGTTCAAATTATAAAACAATGGTTAAGAAATATTTTCAAAAAATATCCTACATGTACATTTACTACTTTCTCGCTTCTTTCTCTTACTTTTTCCTTTTCTCACTCATCTTTTCATGATTCCATGATCCCACCTTTCTCTCTCTTTTCTTTTATTTTTTTTATTTGCTTCTGTTTTTCTTTTTCTTTCTATTTGTTTATTATTTTTATTTTCTCCTTTTTGTTCAATATATTTTACGCATATTTCCATACAATGTATGTATGCCCCGTAATACACTAGGATATTACGGGCATACATACAATTTTCATATAATTATATATAAGCAAAAGCAATTTTGTATGTATGCTTGTGAAAATTGTATGTATGTCAAGTACATCTATCTGTCTAGCTATATATTATATAAGCAAAAACGAGTTTTCATAAGGAGTTTTGTGAGAATTCAAAAATTTTATAATAAATTTGTGATTTTATCAAATTAAAAAATAAATTTAAATAGTATTGAAATTAAAATTATATTCTAATTCTAACATTATTTACACTGTGCCTTCAGGCACGGGCATCCTCTACTCTATATAATAAAGTAAGACGATTTTTGAATTTGTCCTACACACATTTGTCCTATTAGGACATTTGGACGGCTCAGATCTATTCAAATTATAAAATAACGGTTGAGATATATTTTTCAAAAAATATCCTGCATGTACATTTTCTACTTTCCTACTTTTCTCTCTTACTTTTTCCTTTTCTCACCCATCCTTCCATGATTCCATGATCTCACCTTCCTCTCTCTTTTCTTTTTATTTTTTTTATTTTCTCGCATTTTTATTTTTATTTATTTTTTTATTTTCTCCTTTCTGTTCACTTATTTTTATTTATATTATATGGAAAAGTCTACGATCCCAGAATTATGAATCAGATTTTACTTTGTGTAGTGGAGATTAAATTAATGAATTTTATAGTCCACAAATTAAATGAATTTGAACAATTAATTATTATTTTAAAATATATTGAATACCTGATAGATTTCATAAATTTAAACCTTATATGAATCTTTAACATCTATATAATGCAAGACGATTTTTGAATTTTTGCTACACACATTTGTCTTACTAGAACATTTGGATAGTTCAGATCTATTCAAATTATAAAACAACGGCTGAGATATATTTTTCAAAAAATATCCTACATATACATTTTCAATTTTCCCGCTTCTCTCTCTTACTTTTTCCTTTTCTCGCCCATTCTTCCATGATCCCATGATCTCACCTTCCTCTCTCTTTTCTTTTTATTTTTTTTTATTTTCTCGCATTTTTATTTTTATTATTATTTTTTATTATTTTCTCATTTTTGCTCACTTATTTTTATTCATATTATATGGAAAAGTATACGATCCCAGAATTAGGAGCCAGATTTTACTTTGTGTAGTGGAGATTAAATTAATGAATTTCATAGTCCACAAATTAAATGAATTTAAACAATTAATTATTATTTTTAAATATATTAAATACCTGATAGATTTCATAAATTTAAACCTTATATGAATCTTTAACATCTATATAATAAAGTAAGACGATTTTTGAATTTTTTCTACACACATTTGTCCTATTAGGACATTTGGACGGCTTAGATCTATTCAAATTATAAAATAATGGCTGAGATATATTTTTCAAAAAATATCCTACATGTAAATTTTTAATTTTCCCGCTTCTTTCTCTTACTTTTTCCTTTTCTCACTCATTCTTCCATGATCTCATGATCTCACCTTCCTCTCTCTTTTTTTTATTTTTTTTATTTTCTCGCATTTTTATTTTTATTTTTTTATTTTCTCCTTTTTGTTCACTTATTTTTATTCATATTATATGGAAAAGTCTAGGATCCTAGAATTAGGAGCCAGATTTTACTTTGTGTAGTGAAGACTAAATTAATGAATTTTATAGTCTACAAATTAAATGAATTTAAACAATTAATTACTATTCTTAAATATATTGAATACCTGATAGATTTCATAAATTTAGACCTTATATGAATATTCAAAATTCACCTAATCAAACGATACATTAAGCGATCAATTTCTTATCTTCGATGGAACTTAGTCAAGTGACATGGAGATCTTCTCAAAACTTGAGCCGAAGTGGCTCTCTCACTACGAGGGACGCGAATTCTCAACATCGATGGAAGCGTAACCATCGATTTTATTGCATGTTTGTTGGAACTGTAATCGGAGCTCTCTTCGCCGCAATGCTAACTGCCAACAACAGAAACGAACGTCCTCTCTTCATGGCTACAGATGTTGTCAAATTTGTAGAGCAGATGGATGTGTGGAGAAATGTCAATTGAACTTTTTATTGAACTTGATATAATTATCAACTGAATCATGAAAGACTATGAGTGGTGGAAGATGGAGGAGAGAGAATGAGTGGAGAATTGATGAGCAACATGTGGGTTCTATGTTTCTAACCCTTAAATTGATGTTTTTGAGGCTTTTTTTTTTTCTTATGTAGCTTATGGATTTGGATTTAGTTTTTTAAAAAAATTTAGGTCTAAAATAATACTTGATCTTCATAAAATGTGTTTGGATTTTAGAAATATATTTTTATTTTTAGTTTGATTTATAAAATGGATTTAATTCCTTGATGGAAAATGAGTGTTGATTTTTTATGATTTTGAAAAAGCTTTTAAAATGGGTGTTGACTCAAATAAGTGTATCTATGCAAAAAAAATTACATTTTTTTAAGTTAACCGAAACAAGCACTAAATAATTATGTTAGTGGGAGAGAGATTGAATAATTATGTTTAATCTAAATAAATAAAAAAAGAGTTTTTTTAATTTAAATAAATAATTATAGAGTTTTTTTTAACATATTTTTTTTTATTTATATCAAAAATATGCGTAGTCTCTAATTAAAAAGAGAGGTTTCTAATCAAAAAGGGAGAGTGGGCCAGAAAAAGAGACCAATCTGAGACACAATAAATAATTGAAAAGATGAGTGTAATTAGAAACAGAAGCGTGGTCTCTAAAAAAAATAATTAAGCCACGCAGAATTATAAGAGGTGTATGAGAGGTTGGTTAATTTAGTAAGTTATTTTAATTTTTGGTTAATTTAGTAGATTAAAATAATTATATTTAGCAAGATTGTTGAATTTTTTTATAATCAAATACGATGTATATGAGAAAAAAATATATAAATGATTATGAATTTGATATTATTTTAATTTATTTTTCCTTTTAAATACATATGACTCAAAAAAAAGTTTGACGTAACATTGTTTAAATACATTATATATATATATATATATATGTATGTATATTTTGATAAATACACTAAAGTTTATATATGACTTAATTCAACCGCATTTTTAAAATTTAACACACCTTTGTTCAATATTATATTAGTCACTATTTTGAATTCTGTACTTTTTTTAGATGGTGAAATTTTATAAAATTTCAAATACAAATTAATGTTTTAACTTAAACTTTTAGTAATGAATTTAAAAAGTTACATTTTAATTTAAATGAACCCATCATACGATTCCGGTTGAAGTCATGGCCGGCGGTGGTATTGCCATAGATGTTGGCAGAAGTCTTATGTGTGGAGTTTTATATTGCAGTGAAATTATTGTTATCTTGAATTGATTTATGATAATTGATTTCTGTAGCATTGTTATCTTGAATTGATTTATGATAATTGATTTCTGTAGCAGTGAAATTATTATCATTTTGAATTGATTTTTTTGTAAAGGATGTGATACTAATATTAATAATTTATGTTAATTGATTTTTATAGAATATGTATATCAATATTATTTACATAGCGTCTTTAACACATGTATACACCAGTATATAATGTTATATACATATATATATATATATATATCGTGGCTTGATCTTCACCGTCCATTCCAACGCATCAGATTGATCGGTAACTGAGAGACCCATCACACGACTGCACTATGGTAGCTTCGTAAAAATAAGCCATTATCGTAACTACAAAGCATCATTCATTTACTCTCTCTCTCTCCTCACTACGTAACCTTCTTTAACCGAAGTTCCGCTGTAACGAAGACTCAAAACTCTCTCTCTCTCTCTCGATCGATCTTCCGAGTTGGAGAGCGATTCGAACGAAGATCGTTGTGTAACAGCTGAGTTCGTTGGTTCTCAATCACTGCGATCTTACCTGGATCTCTAGGGTTCATCAGCAGCCACCTTTCTCCGATTCCATCAACGGAGACGCGTTTTCATTTCCCAAAATGGTCAGTCTTCAATTGTAATTGTTCTTAATTTCTTTCACAATTCGATATATATATTAGATCTAGCTCAAATCTGACACGATTCGATCTGAATATCTAAGCATTCTTGCGAGTGCCTTGAATTTCGCACAATTGTGTTTATTTTTTGAATTCTGCACTTGGACTCAGTTAAAGATTTGATTTTATTCGAGATCTAGCGTTGTAACATGTACTAACTAATTCGTGTGTTTCTTTGCAGCCTCTCAGACTGGAAATAAAGGTATTAATATTCATGTTGCTTTTGAATTTTTTTTTTTTGAATCAGTTTTGGATTGGATCCTTGTTTCTTTTATGTGTAATTTTTGAAATTTCGTGCTGACAATTATTGTCTAATCAGAGAAAACTTGCTCAAAGGTCCGAAAGAGTAAAATCTGTGGATTTGCATCCAACAGAGCCATGGTAATTATGATTTTATTTGTGTAATCAATCTAAGTTTTGGATTTTAATAGAAAATGTACCTACATGTTCCTTCTTGCTAATTGCGAAGAAAAAAAAAATATGAAACTTGTGTTTTATACCCCAAGCAAACACCTTTTCTCGGCAATTAAGTGGCATTGACTTTATTTGCAACTAACCCAGGGTCTAAGGCTATGAGAAAGTTCATCTTTGTGAAAGTTTATTTCTTTATTTTTTTATTTTTATGTGATTCGTGATGATGATACGTGATGCTTTTATCTTGCAGGATTCTAGCAAGTTTGTATTCTGGTACTGTTTGCATCTGGAACTACCAGTCTCAGGTATGTAACAACTATGCAAGTTAGCTAAGAAGCATTGGTTACCATCCAACTGAATTATGATAAGTACCTTCTCAGGCCTCACAATGCCATGCTTCTTGTGATACAATGCTTTTTTGTTTTTTGTGGTGTCTTTTTATTATAGTTCATTTTCGAATGTATGCTTGTATGTTATTTTTCTTCTTTTTCTATTTTAATTTTATTCTGCACAATGTTACTGATAATCATTTTTTGGGATTCATTGTATTGTCTTGTAGAAATACGTTCATTTTATATAATTTTTGTAACAGTTGATGGTCAAATCTCACTCTGTAGATCAATTATGGGTAAGGGGAGAACTTCAACTGATCATAAATTAATAAATTTAAATAAAGTAATTTTGTTGGATCCATATCCTTAACATTGTTTGTTGCTAGGCTTCAAGCTATACATTCTATTTATATCTGCAGGTTCATTGCGAACAATAATTAAGTCATCCATATCTGTAAGATATCCAATTGTAGTTTTACTAACTTTTCACTTTAGATCTTTACATCATAAATTCTAATGTAGATTGACAACAATATAGATTTGAACTTTGAAGCAGTGGAACCAATCAGTACCCATTAATGGGTGTTTGGGAGGGTTTAGATTTGGTACATACCTAATTTTTGACATAAATGCACAATGTGGTTGTCCTCATACTTGAACCCATAACTTCAAGGTTAATAGGTCAAGGTTTTAACCATTGAACCAGTCTTAACCAATAACATAGTAACTTAGAAAAATTGCAGAGGAATGAAAGAATCTATTAATTATTGGGGATTAAGAATCATTAACGACATGAATAATGTTGTGAAGAACAATTTAGCATACACCTATTGGTTAGTGGGAGATTTTCGATCATTTACCACATGAAGAGCAACATAGAAGGAAACCCTTTTGGACCCAAAGCAATGACGACTTGGGAAACCTGTCCAGAGTATATATTGCACATATGCATAGGCATAGTCTCTAAATTATTTTAATTTAATAGCCTATTAGTCTATTCCTTAGCTTGTCCAGTTACAATTATCATATGACATGGCATATGTTTGTTAAACATGTTATGCTAAAGTTATTATACTTTAGTATATTGTGGTATTTTCAGCATTATCTTACTAATCAGATGCAACAAAATGAAGTTTAAATATATGAGGCTGCCTATCAGAATTTCATGTTCTTTTGTATAGGCCCTTTCATATGCAAAGCTACATTTGTCCATTTTTTTTTAAGCGAATCCTTCATTTGTCCAATAAAGACAGTAGTGAAGAGATGCGATATAGTGACGGTAGATGGAAGTGTTAGGGGAAGGGACAGATCTAAATTGACGTGGGCTAGTGTAGTAAATAGAGAGATGAATCTCCTTAATTTGACTAATGAAATGGCTTTGGATAGAGTTGGGTGGAGAATAAGGATTTATGTAGTTGAGCCCATCTAATGGGACTTAAGGCTAGGCTTGGTTTGGTTTGGTTTGGTATCCTTTATTTGTCCAATCCACCCAGCCAAGTCGAAAATGTTCTCAGTAATATCAATAAATCTATATTCAACTCTCATTAAGATGGTTTGGGTTATTGTATCATGGAGCTTTTGTTATTAAAGTATCATCCAATCCAACTCACTATTGCTTCTGCAGCACCCACCCACTCTCCACCTCGGGTTGGTGGTACGCTATGATAAGATCTTTGTGCTTCTGCCATTGTTCAGTATCATAGATGTTGCATACCTGACCCAATTTCCCATAATTATCTTCTTTTAAGATATAGCAGATAATATTTTGGTGTGAATCAATATCATATGAAATTGCAGTGTTAATACACAATTTAATGTTTATTTGCATATTTTAACATATTTATTCAATTGTGTATTGAGTGATGCTCAAGGATTGCGAGCTAGACTTTCTTAGTCTTCACCTTTAATAAAAAGAGTAGGGTAATTATACTTATTTCCCCTGAGGTTTGGAGAAAATACAAGAAGTTTTACAATTTTGGTATAATTACATTGGGTTCCGTTAAGGTTGTAATTCATACGACATTGAGCTCCTTTTTCATCAATGATTTGTTTGTCATATGGATGGAAAAATGATGTTGTCATCTCTTCTATACTAAATTGTATATTTTTCTTTGTTTATCCTTGTGTCTTCACACCATCTAAATTAGTTTTGGTCAATTTAAACGTACTAAAAGGGAGGTTTGTGTAATTATGCCAAAATTATGGGGCTGCTTGTATTTTATTTAACCCTCAAGGTTAGTGTAATTTACTATAAAAAAAAAAAGAATACTTGGGTACAGATTTAAGATTACATACTAATTCATGCTTGTTTGCATGCTGATTATAAAAAAAAAAAAAATCATGCTTCTTTGCATGCTCTCATAGCAATGATGTTGATGGAAAAAATAAATCTTATTTAGCATTATCTACCTGATCATCAACCACCCTTTTCTCCCTATGAAGGGAAACATACAGGCTGGTAGGGTCCCACAGAATGTGCAAGTAATGGCTTTGATACACTCCCAAGAAACAAGGGTGACCATGACAAGTGGAAGTTAATGGTTTTATTTTATTTTCAATTTAGGAATATTTTATTTGTTCTGAAGTCCTTTTCAAAAAGAAAATCAAGTGGAATTACGCTTTAGGGATGAAGTTGGAGAGCGAAAAGTCACTTTGCTTGTTGGATATTGGGTAGATTTTTGATGCCCTTAGGGACATAATTTCAAACTTTCTCCATTATAGCATGAACCAAAATTTAGAGCTATAACAAACCTCTTGATTGATTTAAATGAGCCTTATGTCATTAACTTGGATATTCTTCTAAAGAAAATACCTAGGGGACCTACTTTCTGTAATATCTTTGTATTCCATGGGAGACTTTGGCATTTTTATCAAGAATTCTTTTGCAAATACAAGTGATCACATTTTGTGGGTATTTAACTTTGTAGGGGTGGTATACCAACTCTTGCAATGAAATGAAGCCAATCTTGATTTAAAAAAAAATAAAAAAATAGTAACAAACACTTGAACTCAGTTTCGTTTTATATTATTTGCCTTAGAAATAGTCAACTTATATGGCACACAGTTTGTTTCTGAACATTTCTATTCCTTTATGAGAATATCATAAGACTAGAGAGCTCGTTTCACATATCCATTGGTTTTGAAGGCCTTATGTGTTACTGTGTCCCCCTGGACCAAGTTATCACTGGTGTCCTGCTTTCATTTTGAAGCTCTTCTGAATTATCTGCTATTTCTTGCCTTCTGAAAGATATTAGTGTCATTGGTATATTAGGGATGTTCTAAAGAATAAGAAACAAGATGAAGTTTTTTATTATCATAAACTGATCATGATTACTTTTTTATCCTTATGGTGATTACTCAAGCATGTGATGCTAACTAAAATTTCATTTTCTACTATCATAGACCATGGTGAAGTCATTTGAGGTTACTGAGTTACCAGGTAGGTAATTATTATTTTACATTACCTATTTATTTGGTCAGCTGGTACAATTTTCTTGCTTTCTCATGTTGATGAGGGTTATTCTGTGCTGATATCTACTCAATGGGTGTGCAGTTAGATCTGCAAAGTTCATTGCACGCAAACAATTGGTTGTTGCTGGTGCTGATGATATGTTTATTCGTGTATACAATTACAATACAATGGATAAGGTCAAAGTGTTCGAGGCACACACTGATTATATTAGGTGTGTGGCTGTTCATCCTACCCTTCCATATGTGCTGTCTTCATCTGATGACATGCTTATAAAGCTCTGGGATTGGGAGAAGGGATGGGTGTGTACTCAAATTTTTGAGGGTCATTCCCATTATGTTATGCAAGTGACATTTAATCCAAAAGATACCAACACATTTGCTAGTGCATCTCTTGATCGCACTATAAAGGTATGGATTGAATTGTCTATTTCTAACTTGTTAACCACAATTTTTTGTATAATTGAGTACAAATGATAGTCATGCATTGGAACTTTTTTTTCGTTTTTTACCTTCTTTCCAGATTTGGAATCTTGGCTCCCCTGACCCAAATTTTACATTGGATGCCCATTTGAAAGGGGTAAATTGTGTTGATTACTTCACAGGTGGCGATAAGCCTTATCTGATAACTGGTTCTGATGATCACACTGCAAAGGTTTGACTCCTATTTTCCTTGTTGGGTTCTTATACATGTACAGTGTGAAAATATTTGTGGCTATATCCTATGAAACAGGTGTGGGACTATCAAACCAAAAGTTGTGTCCAGACACTAGACGGCCACACCCACAATGTTTCAGCTGTATGTTTTCACCCTGAACTTCCCATTATAATTACTGGTTCTGAAGATGGTACTGTGCGTATATGGCATGCTACCACGTATCGGTAAGTTCTATGGTCAAACTATCTTCATACTAAGATTTTTACCTATACTTGCCCCAATCTTGCTATTATACATGATTGGAATTTAGTTTGATGCAACATAGGTAATTATTTAACAGATTGACATCTTTGCTTTGTATAGGGAGTTACTTAGGTCATGGCATATTCCAACTTTTTGAACCTGTTGTTTACTGAGTTATAAGTTGTTAACTTTGAATTGGCTCAGGTAATTAATCCCACTGTATGTTGGGATCAATGATACCATAGAATTAATGATACAGTTTTTTGAGAAAAATGGTGTCTGTAATTTTCAAATGAAATGGTGAAGGCACTTTCAGGATCTATTTCTACCACCCCCCCTCCCCCCCCTCTCAATGCTCTTTCGTTATTTCTAGACATACTCATGAAGTCTCATATATGTTTTTTAGTTTTTTATTTAAATTAAATAGCATTGAAAATTTGATCTTGGATGTGACAATTAACCTCCCTTTTCAGGGATGTATTTCAAATTTGATCTTGGATGTGACAATTAACCTCCCTTTTCAGGGATGTATTTCTTTTTTTGTATGTACATATGTAACAGGTTAAATAAATGTCAACAAAATTTTGCTATGAGTGTGGTTACTTATCCATTATCCCAAGGCTGCATGTCATTCTATTCAGATATCCTCATTCCATTGCCACTCACCTTCCCTGAACTCTGAGCAACACCTTGATGTTTGCTGTAATCTAGATGGAATAGAAATCTAAATCATGGAAACAAAAGGATTGTTCCGTGGAGTTCACAAGTTCAAGGACCTTGTAATTATGCCACTGACTTAGCTTGTTAACTTTAGCTGGATCATTCTAGATTTCCTTTGCAATTTTAATTTTGATCTTGGTAGCAAGATCTTGAAAGTAGCAGTTTTTTTTAGCTTTTTTTAAAAGATGAAATCTGTGTAGAATAGTGTCCAATTGGGTTGAATTTTTGGAAGTAAAATAATAAAATTTGAAAATGCACTAGAGATTGAGGCAATATGGATGCTCGAGCCTTTTGTATGTGTATTTGTGTGTACACTTGTCCTTGTATTGTTGATCCCTACATTTATTTCACACAGTGGTTTTCTGTTTTTATGTTTTCACTGTTATAGTACATTGAGTTTTTTGAGTTTTTTCTGGTCTTCCTAAAGCTTTCTGTTTCATTGACTTGCAGCCTTGAGAACACGCTGAATTATGGTCTTGAAAGAGTTTGGGCCATTGGATACATGAAAGGTTCTCGCCGGTGAGTTTTATTTTTTTTACTTATGAAAAAGTATGTTTTTTGGAAGGTGTGACTGAATTGGGTTTTTTCTTTTCTCGAATAGGATATTATGGGTGTGTTTTGATATAAATTTTCAAAAATAGTTTTGGGGAGACTTTAGAAATTTTTTTGGTTTATTTGGTATATATTTTGAAAATAATTTTGGAGTTTGGGATGATTTGGGGTGTGTTTGGTTTGTGTTTTGAAACATGTTTTTGGAAGAAAATTTTCAAAAACATGTTTGGTTACAAATTTTCTTTAAAAAATTTCAAAATTACTTCTCTCTCTATTACACATCAACTAATCACTTTTTTTCTCTCCTCTCTCCTTCTCAATCATTTTTTTCTCTCACACACATCTACTCATTTATAACAAAATATCAAATCATTTCAAACTCCCAAACTTCAAAACTATTTTTAAAATATACAACCAAACAAACTAAAAAAATTTCTAAACTCTCCCCAAAATTTGTTTTTGAAAATTTATCTCAAAACACAAACCAAACACACCCTTGATATTTTGTTGTAGTTGAGTAGATGTGTGTGAGAGAAAAAGTAATTGATTGATGTGTAGGAGAGAGAGTAATTTTGGAATTTTTTTTTTCAAAAAATTTGAACCAAACAAAATTTTGAAAATTTTTCTCAAAAATGGTATCTTGAGATACAAACCAAACAAGCCCTACAATTTCAGGGGAAGAATTAGGAAATAAAATTGAACTTACTCTTGCTAAATTTGTTGCAACTTCATTCTTTTGTGGCTTTTGCACTCTTTGGACAGGCTTGTAATTGGTTATGATGAAGGAACTATTATGGTAAAAATTGGTCGCGAAGAACCTGTTGCTAGTATGGACAATAGCGGAAAAATCATATGGGCTAAGCATAATGAAATTCAGACTGTTAACATTAAGAGTGTTGGAGCAGATTATGAGGTTTGATTCAATTGTGTTCTCATCTATTCTGAATTTCATAAAACTATGATGACAAATCTTTTTTGCTTAAGGTGATGTTTAAATTCGTTGTCTTCTTTTCTTCTCAGGTTACTGATGGGGAAAGATTACCTTTGGCAGTGAAAGAGTTGGGGACCTGCGATCTTTACCCACAAGTGAGTTGGCCTTCTTTGGATGTACTAGATATTTTATAATGTTTTGTGTCATGATTTGCAGTCTCCGAAAACTGGTGAGCTGGCCTTCTTTTGCAGTAGAACTGCTGCTATTTAATTTGCTCTCTAGTACTAATCTTGCAAAGATTTTTTCCTTGTTCTTTTTTTTTTTATTATTATTATTTTTTTTTCCCCTAATAAGTAATCATGGCAAGTTATCTGGTAGAATAACTTTAATGAAGTTCATTATTGATTCAAGACGTAAGAGATTACTTCTTGTGCTTTAGATGTTTGACTGCTTCCTACACTTAATGTACATGGTTACCCATTGTGTCATCGTGTCTGAATTGTTCAATTCTAACCCGTAAATCTTGATACTGGAAGGGAGATGAGTTATCACTGTGACCATTTTTTCATCATCGTTAAGTTGGTATAGAAATGATGTTTCTATGAAAATTTACTGGTTGGATATGGATGCCTGCACTCATGTTAGAATATGCGTCTTTTTATGGAATAAATTTAGAAGGTTTGATCTGAGATTTTGATTGAACTGGGTTTGAATATATTTTCTTTGATGGGCACTACTGTTGGGGCAGCGTCAGACCGTTGATTTTGTTGTTTTGTTTAGATAATGAGATTAGACATTACGAGGTGAAGGGAAAATAAAAAATGGGAAAAATCTATATAACAAAACAAGGGTGTTTTTAATTGGGGTGGGACATTTGTCTTATGTGTCAAAATGTGAATGATCAGATTGATTCAATCTAATGGTTAAGAATGTAGCTTGATTCAAAGGCTGAGAACAATTGTTGTTGAGATTGACGGTTAAAATTAGGGAATAGATCACAATTCATAAAATTGTCTAATATTGCGAACATTAATTGGTGAAAGTATAGATCTGACTAGCCGTTTTTCTATGTGAGGTTCTAGTGATCAGTTGTAAACTATGATCCTGTGATTGATTTGTATGCACATTGAAACTTAAAGGATCCATTTGGGGAAGATTGAAAACACAATCGTTTCTATGTTGTTTCATTTTCTTATGAATTTGATTTTAAATAGCTTTGAACCTTTTAATGAAATTGGACTATTTTCAGCAATTTTTCTCCAAAGCAGATTTTGGAAATAAAGAATCCAGTAACATTTTCTGCATTTTTTTTTTTTGCTTTTTGAGAATGGAAAATTGTTTTTGAAAATGGTGCCAAATGGGCCTTAATAATTGGCAAAGCTCTAAGATTGTATGAAAAATGTAAAGACTCTTTTGGCAGTCATGGTCAAGCATAAACACTAGATTTAAGGACAGCTACTTTGTGCAAGTACAATTCAAGTTGGAAATTAGGTTTGTACCCAGCCCCAACCTCCCCTCCCAGGTTTGAAAATGGACTGGACAAGGACTTCATCTTCTTGTCTCAGTTAGCATTTTCATTTTGGTGCCTTTATTTAAATCATATATTACTTCTTTAGTGGTGTAATTATTATTGCTATTATGACCAAATTATTGTGATAGCTTTTCCTCATTTGACTGATGGCCCATCGACAATGCTTGTTGTATCTTATTTTTAGGTGTCACCTATTAATCTCAAAATTTCATTTTTTTATTTTTATTTTAGCTTATCTTGTAACATGTTTTTAATTGTCATTCTGTGCTTTTTAGCATACCTGCCTTTTCTGTTTACATTGGTAGTTACTCCATGATCAACCAACATGACTGAGGCATTTGTCTGCTTGATCCATCCTCTCTAGTTTTATGTGCATTACTGTCCTCAATCCTCTTTGGAGAAAGGAGATAATGTTTTTGGAGCATTTAGGTGTAATTCAATTTTAGCCTTTAAGGTCCTCCTATTAAATAAGCTCATGCTATTTCTATGTAGATTGACATATAGGTTACATTCCGACTATTATGCTAATCTCCTGTTATAATGTAATTTATATAAAAATTCCAGTTATTTCCAATTGTTAACATATATGATTTTCTGTAAAACTTTTAACAATGAATGCTGATTGCAGTCCACATCAGTGGCATCATGGTCTGTTCCCATGTGTATTCACTTATGAGTTCTGATTTTGTTTACAGAGCTTAAAGCACAATCCCAATGGGAGGTTTGTTGTTGTTTGTGGAGATGGTGAATACATCATATATACTGCTTTGGCATGGAGAAATAGGTCATTTGGTTCAGCATTGGAATTTGTTTGGTCATCAGATGGTGAA